TTCTTTTGAATTGTGGTTTTTAATAGTGGCTGTCCTAAGACTTTGTCATCCACAGACAATTGTCTTATTTTGATCCTCTTCAAAAGATGGTTTATAATCAGCTATAGGACTTTGACAGGTGCTCTTAAGTGCACATTTCTAATAACTTTGGATATTGTAACATTAGAGTAGAAGAAAAAACTTTCAGGCTCTCATGGAGAGCTGAAATGTTCATGAATATCAAGCAGAACAGGAGTTAATTGCATAGACTGAACTAATAGAAGACTGAAGTAATCTTTTTGACTTTTTTGCTTAAAACGTTGCTGATACTTTGTTTTGTTTTTCAGAGCCAAGAAAACTTTCAAGCTACTTACAGCTTTTAACAATTGAGTAAAGTCTATTCCTGTAAACAAAATTTGGAGCATATTTATTTATCTATACCTGATTTCTCCAGAATTGGAAATTATTTGTGAGCATTCTTAACTTATGGCAATATAGTTATTTGCATAGTGCAATAAGTATCTGTTTTCTTTTGTAACAGGACACAATTGGAGACACTGGTTACCTTACCAAGGTTTTGACTGGAATGGTATGCTTTCTTTTAAGGAATCAAATTTGACTTACAAAGCCAATAAAAGCCTCTTGGGAAACTGCCCTCACCTCATACCTTGTCTATATAGTACCTGTATAGAGTTCTGGACTTGTGATAAGTAAAGAATGTCAGTTTTTGACAGGCCCAGGAGCCCCAGATTATCTTGTGACTTCAAGAAGAAGAACTTACCCAACTCATAGGTATTTGACAGCACAACCCCATAGCTGGGTTGGGCTTTTAAAAAAAGTCTTATCTAAGATTTCTTTGATGGAATAAAAGTTCCATCAAAACCAATTAAAATAAGCCTATGTGGCAAATAATTCTTCTTGCTGCACTTTATACAAATAATCAGGCCAAGTATAATAAGGCAAATCGGTTTACCATAATTTGTATTTAGTAAAAATGGGGGACTGAAGAGAGAAAAACTATGTTTCAAGAACTATGGTACAATTGTTATTAGATTCTAACCTTATCAGTTCTTTTTGAGAATTTTTTTCCCCTGAAATTTAGACTGACTGCTTATTCCTGTGAACCAATCAGTGATCTCTGGCTGCTGCTCAAACGAAACAAGGGGGATGGATAATGTAAAAATCTAGATCAATATTCTAATTCTGGGCATATACTGGAATCAGGTAGTGACACTATATCAGCTTGGTTTCAAATTGCCCAGTTCATGGAAAGCTTTTTTATCTAGTTTACTTGGGATAATTTTGCTTATTTTGCTTTACTGTTGTGGAATATATTGCTGCTGTACTCTCCATGTAAGAATTCAGGATAAGTTTACTCAATGTTATCTTAAAGCAAACACTTATTAATCTTCCAGATATCACCTTTTGTCAGAGTTATGGATGGCCCTCACCATACTGATGCTTTCTGACTGAGCTCCTCTCTACCCCAAATACAAGAGATCCTAGTAGTTAGGCAGGAATATCATCACCCCTATTCAGCCTGAAGAAGCTACAGATGGATCTTTGTCCCTCTACAATGCTTAGCATTAAGGGTTCTCTTATAAAAGGGAGGTGGGAAATATATCAGAGGTGTTTGAACCAGAGCAATTCCATCTTGAATAGGGGCTGGGTAAAATAAGGCTGAGACTTACTGAGCTGCATTCCTAGGAGGTTAGGCATTCTAAGCCACAGGATGAGACAGGAGGTCAGCACAAGGTACAGATCATAAAGATGTGATAAACAAGCTGGTCAAATTGCATCAAAACCAATGTGGCCAAGAAAGTGACCTCTGGTCGTCCTCAGAACTGATTATATGCTAATTATAATGCATTAGTATGCTAAAAGACACTCCCATCGGCACCATGACAGTTTGCAAATGCCAACGCAATGTCAAGAGGTAATCCTATATGGTCTGGAAAGGGGAGGAGCCCTCAGTCCTGGAAATTGCCCACCCCTTTCCCAGAAAACTCATAAATATTCCACCCCTTGTTTAATATATAATCAAGAAATAACTATCCTTGGTGGAGCAGCCTAAGCTGCTGCTCTGCCTAAGGAGTAGCCATTCTTTATTCCTTTACTTTCCTAATAAACTTGGTTTTCACTTAAAAGAAAAATAAGTGGCCGGGTGCAGTGGCTCACTCCTGTAATCCCAGCACTTTGGGAGGCTGAGGCGGACGGATCACCTGAGGTTGGGAGTTCAAGACTAGCCTGATCAACACAGTAAAACCCCGTCTCTACTAAAAATACAAAATTATCTGGGTGTGGCAGTGTGCAGCCTGTAGTCCCAGCTACTTGGGAGGCTGAGGCAGGAGAATTGCTTGAACTCGGGAGGCGGAGGTTGCAGTGAGCCCAGATCACGTCACTGCACTCCAGCCTGGGCAGCAGAGCGAGACTCCATCTCAAAAAAAAAAAAAAGGAGAAAACCACTAAATTTGTGGTTATTAGTTTCACAGTGATAGAAAATGAATACAGCAAGAAATATCATGTTTTTATTTCATTTAAATCAAATCTTATACAATGCCGAATCCTCATACTGCAGGCCTGGCACGATATTCAATCTCTTACACTACTGAGGCCCTTTCCTCTTCCAGTAACAGGATCTCCTTTTTCCTAGGATGGTCCTTTTCCCAGGCATGGTCCTAAGATTGTCCTCAGTCTTTACTACCCAAACTCCCCTGAGGCAAAGGAGCATAAAAGTCTGGTTTTCTACCTGAAGTTGGGAGACAAACAAAACATACATTAACACCTCAATACATTATCTTGACACTAGTAAGTTGGCTGTATCCCATAAAGGGTATCTTACTTCCCTTTCTGGTGTCTTGGCACTTCCCAGAAGCTGAGTCACTGATAGTCTGATACTTGGGTCTGCCCCAAGGTGGTAACCTCACCTGCAAGTTTCCTTAGGCTTTTGAAGGTCATTGTTCACAAACCTGGATATTGGGTGAATTTCTTGCTTCCCATAGAGAAAAATGACTCTCCTTTCTCAATTCTGTGTCCTGCCTGGATGGAAGCTTTCTTTGAATCTACCATGGACTTGTAGGTGATTTTCTTCATAAGGAGCAGAGATGGAGGAGGAGACCATTTAGGTCTTTGGCAATATTCTATGTAAGAGATGATGGGGGCTTGAACCAGGGCAGAAGTAGTAGGCAAGATAAATGTTTGGATTTTGAATACTTTGAAGGGTAAAGCCAATAATCTGATATGGTGTGTTAAAAAGGAAGCCCAAAATAAGTACGCTCACATCAACCTAAAAGCAAGGAGTAGAGGCAAAATTAATATAGAGAGTTTATTTGGGCCAAGGTTGAGGACTGCAGCCTAGGACATATTTCCAGGTTGCCGTGGAGAGTGCTATGGAGAAACAAATGGGCTGGAGTTTTTAAAGAAAAGAGAATGAATCAGCAGAGGGGGGCATTACAAAAGTTATTTCTCAAGAAATGTCATTTATTTGCAGAAATAACATTAGTTAGTGATTGGCTATACATGTGGTTGAACTATAGGGTATACGGCATTTTATGGCTACTTGGTGTCAGCCTAGGGCTTGCACAGCAAGTGGCTTCAAGAGCTAATTATTTAGCTCAAGGGAGAGTGAGACATGACTGCTTGCATTCCTTAGATAAAAAGTTTTTTTTCCCTTATCATCTGTCATCTCACACCACACAACTGGGAGTCAAGGGACCTTACATGACTTGAGCACATTTCACCTCTTGAAATTAAAGATGAGCAGCTTCCTTTCGTTTAAATATAAGTCACATGAGAATTTAATTTTGGCAGTTAAAGAATTGGTTCCCCAACCTAAATCTGCAGCCAAGATGAATTTTCTGATTCACCTCCTTCCCTACAGTTTCTGGGTTTTGTTTATCCTCCAATTCCAAATGGCATAATTGCTTTCTTTCTCCCACTCTACACCCATCACCAGCCGGGTGTTTCAGCTTTTTCTATCTCTCAAATAGGATGCTCCAAAGGAAAAGAGAGGTGCTATTTCTGAGGGAAAAGAATGTAGGATAGTTGAAAACAACAGCACGGTATTTTCTTCACAAACTTGATTTTAAGATGACTGAAAAATCTAAAAGTGAAATAAACATTTTAAGAAATACAGTATTTGCTCTATTACTCTGTGTTGTCTACTTTGCTTCACATTTAAGCTATTACAACTATAGAGTTAAGACAATTGTGATTCCTAAACTTAATTCACATGATTGATGAAAACCAAGCTTAATTCTCTGTTTAAATGTTGTGTACTGCTGGAAGTAATACAAAGCATTAATAAATAAAAGGAATTCGACATCCATCTTGGGTAAAAAGCATTTCTGTCTTCATTCTAACATAGATTTCATTTCGGATTTTAAAAAACAACTACTGTGCTATACTGCCGTATCCGGTAGTTGTAAATACTGGGCAATGTTACCTTTCTAGGGCTTGTTTCCTCATACATAAAACCTATTGGTACTCCAGGCCAGCTCTCCTATTGCTTCCTGATCCGGGACAATCTAAAAACCTAATTTAAGAAATATTTGGTGTCCAGCGTAAAATAGTGTGCTTGATGTCTTATTAGCACAAGACATAGAAGAGCAGGAAATTCATATAATGAAACGGACCCGCTGTGAGTAGTTTCCAGTGGATATAACCTCTCCTTTGTTGGCCTTTAAATAATAAGTACATTAGCTGCTGCAACTGCGATGCATGCACTGTGGAAATCCTGCATATTCTTAAACTGCCATCCCAAGGCAGAAAATGCAGAATTCCTTTTTATTTTAACTTTTAAAGGGGTTAAATTCGGGCTTGGTACTGGGGTGCTCTCGGGGAGGTTTCCCTTACCTCTCCCAGTGAGGCTACTTAACCTCACCAGCACTCCAACACTGCCCACACTTTCCTACCCGGTCCCACTGGGCACGGGCCAATCGGCTCGTTCCTTCCCAGCGGCAGGGTGGAACCTGGAGCCTGGACTTCGGAGACCCGCCCCCTGTACGTGGCGTGCGTGCATGGCGCTACGCGACGCGGGCCGGTTTCTCCAGCGTGTGGCGCCTCCTGGCGGTAGCCGGGCTTCGATGCCACGGCCTGACCGGAGTGTCCGCCATGGAGTCGCAGAAAGAGGCGCGAATACTCCAGGAGCCCGTGGCGCGGCCTCCTGGGGCCTCAAGGTCTCAGACGCCGAACGCCAAGGAGCGGCAGGAGGGCGGCCCAGTGCCGGCGGCGGCTGCCCTGGGTGCAGAGGCGGACGACGACAGTGCGGACGGGCTGTGGGAGCTGCCGGTGGAGCCGGCCAAACGGAGGCCCGAATGCAGCCGCTGCAGGTGACCGCGGGGCCGGGGGCGGGGACTGCAGCCGGCAGCGGCCTTTGGAGGAGGCTGCGGCGCCCCCTGCCGGGGTATCGGCGGCTCGGGCAGCTCTGCGCTTAGGTTGGCGGAGTTGGCGGGTGCACGTTGGAAATCTCGGAAATGCCGAGCACAGCTACCTAGTAAGAAGCCCTTTTTCCAGGTTCATGATTATTTAACCTTACTTTCTGCAATATATTGAGCGTGTCATGGGATGAGCAGACATCATTTCTGTTTCCAAGAAACTTAAGCGTCCGACAGGGAAGTAAGGGGTGATGACAATAATACTTGTAGTATAGTTACACAGTCATACTTAAGTGGCATAGTCGTATCACAGTTAAAACACATAAAGTGGATTGAAGGAGAGAGACAGTCTCCTTTGCCTATCCTACCAGAACTGTAAATATAGGGCCTTTTCAGGTCTTTATTCTAGGCTCTCTTCTAACCCTACAGACGTCCCACTGGTAATTTTTAAAATCAGTTTTCATGGTAATTTATCATCTATATCCCAGTGAGTCTCAGACCTTTATTCTGAGCACAAGATCTGTGCATTAATTTATCAGGTGTTTATTGAGTGCTTTGATAATCACTGACAATGCAATGGAGTCCGTGTCTTTATGTATTCTCTTACTGGATACGGATAATAAACCAGCAAACAAGCTATCCAATATGTAATTACAAACTGGGAAAAAAACAATGAAGGAAAGAAATGGGATGCTCTTATAAAAAATAGCTAGATGGTGTCGTGAACTATCTCTGAGATTTGAAAGATGAGAAGATTCCAGCCTGGGGAAAAGCATTCCAAGAAGGGGAACAGAAGGACTGAATATGGTTAAAGGTCTTTACTGCTTGAGTACTTGGAGTTTGTTACTTTGGACATTTTGACCTTTTCCTAGGGCTCTATTGTAAGACTTAAGAGGAAAGGATCTTAAATATAGAATGTTTTTATATTTTCTAAATGTACTATGTATAGTTGACCTCTGAGGAGGATGGAAAATTTGTGATTAGAAGGGACTGTGAATTTGAACATAGGGGTTTGTGAATGTAATTAATTTAAACAAGTTGTCTCGGGGGTTAGGGGAAACATTTAAAAGTGTTTGGAGGAGTCTCAATAGGATACTGAAAGAAAAGTGTTTCAAATATAAATCAAAGGCTAAATTACTGTGCTAGCTTTATTATGTAGTTTTTAGTCTGTTCAGAATTGTTAATTATAAATATATAGTTAAAAATCTGTTTAGCAGAGATTTATTTTATGATGCTTTCTAAAAAATAAAAATGACTTGCTGAATTTTGTCTTTTTTTCAGTTACATTTAGTTAATACCTTAGGATTACAATTTTTCCCAACATTTCTGCACTTCGCTTATTTCTGGTGAAATTTGCTACCTGTGAAAAGCTCTCCTCCCTCTTGGCATGCTATGCATTTTATTTGCTTTAATTAGGTAGAATATAATTCTAGAATTATGGAGAATATTTAGGTGTTGTCAATAAGACAGAAATGAATTGATGGCTTTTTATATTTTATTTCATTAGGTTATTAGAGTTCTACTAGTACCCTGCGTGAACTTCTTTACATTTATGCTCAAAATAGTTTTAAAAATACATTCTTAGATTTGATTGATCATTGAGTCACAGTTATTTGACTATTTACTTAAACTATATTCATTTCTCTGAACCCATTACTACAAATGTCATAGCCTAAGGGAGTTCCAGAAATTAGGTTTGTTCAGGAAGTGCAAACTCAGTTTAACTTTTTAGCAGAATCTTGCTTGTTAGAAATATAACATATCTTCAATATGAATGGAATATTCTTCAAAAGATCCCAAACTTGTAGTTTATTATTGCAGGATATAGGTTCTATAAATGTATTCTGTCCTCTATGTATATCTTGTTTACAAAACTTGCCTGTATTCCATTTACCTCTTAGAATACCTTTCCTATCCCCCATTCCCGAACATATAACATTATTTTTTTTTTCAGATAAAGACAAAGCCCTGGTTGATCTCCCCAGAGTATGTATCATTAGCGTTATTTGAGATAAAATAAGAAGGATGAGGGTCATGGGACATAGTAGGTGCACAAAGGATTTGTTGAACTACTTGGTAAAATTCAGTTGTTCAACAAATATCTTTGGAGACCCTACTTCCAGACAGTGTGATACACTGTGAAATACAAAGATGAAAAAGAGATGACTTCAGTTCTCCTGTAGATCAGGACCTAGTGGAAAGTGGCATATCTATTTAAATGGGGAGCCCTCAGATGAAAAATCCTATGATGTAGGGCAGCTTTTTCAAATTATAGGTAATGAACCACAGTGAAACTTTTGTTATATGCATCCTTGTACGTAGTAGAGAATGTATTCAAAAAGAGTTTGACAAACATCAAATTTTTGAGGCTCTGAAGAAAACAGCAAAAAGTGTTTTCTGAATTTTTCAAAGTAAAAGCATTTGTAAAATAACTTTGTTCAGGTTAAAATCATTCTGCTAATTTAAACATCTTATTTAAATTATATGACCTCAGATTGGAAAGATTTAAACGCTTTTTATATGTGTTTGATATCCTTCGGCAGTCTTCGAAATTAGGCCGTCATGGAGTAAGAGTCAAAAGGCGAAAGGGTGCATGTTCACCAAGTAGTGCTTCTGAGATTTTACTAGAGTCTTTAATTTTGTTAGGAAATAAAATGTAATGTTCGTGTGTATATGTATGTATATATGTGTATATATGTAAAATGCACGTAAGCGTGTGGTCTTTTTCTTGTTGAATTCTACACTATCAGCTTCTTTCTTAGATGTGTATATGTGAGGTGTTATAGGAACATATAAAAAGGTGCTCCTAACCCTAAGTTTGTGTGGTGGAGATGAGGAAAAGATCTGGGAAATCTTAGAAGTGACATGTAAGCTGAGACTGAAGGACATAACAAAATATTTAACCTGGATTCTAATATTTAGGATTAATTAGGGAAGAGACTGGCTGGGGGAGGGCTTGAGGGAAGAAAAAGTGAGCTCTGGTTGAGGGAACAGTATGTATGAGAGTTTAGGGCATAGAATGTATAGTGTATTTGGAGAGTTTGGGAGAAGGGATGGAGTCGTGAAAGACAAGGCTGCAGAGATTAGTAGTGGTTGCCTCAGAAAGGGCAAAATAAACTATGTCAGGGAGTTTGGGCCTAATGCTCTATAACCCAACAAGCCAGCCACAGTAATATTTTTATATTTGAAAGGTGGTGACAGGTTTGACTTTTGTAGGTGACTTTTGCTGTATAATTTATACTTTTTCATTTTATAAAAAAAGCAACTGGATGGTGATAAAAGGATACAAGCTTGACTGGGAAGAATTAGGGCCTCATTCCAGAAATATTTTAGGCATCTTAATTGTACTTTTGTATCTTCTGCAGATACTGCTATGCATTTGAGGATGAGTCATAAACAACTTGCAAATCATTGGTCATAGGAATAATAGAATAATGTCTAAAAACAGTGTGTTTTAAATCCCGTTTAAGGGAAGAAACAGCAGGGAGAGCATGCACACAAACTGAATCAGATAGACCCTGAGATGGAAGTTTTTGTGTCTCGAGTGTTTTCTTTTCAAAAGTAACAAGCTGTAAGAATTATAATAAACCATTTCTACATATTTAACACCCTTTTATTAAACATCAGCCATCTACCAGGCACATACCAGGCCTAGGTATTTTATATATGATAATATTTTATTTAGTTCTTGTTTAGATTGCTGCTGCTTTTTTTTTTTTGAAACGGAGTCTTGCTCTGTCACCCAGGGTGGATTGCAGTGGTGCAATCTCGGCTCACTGTAACCTCTACCTCCCAGGTTCAAGCCATTCTCCTGCCTCAGCCTCTGGAGTAGCTGGGACTACAGGTGCCCGCCACCATGCCTGGCTAAGTTTTTTTTTTTTTAAGACGGAGTTTTGCTCTTGTTTCCCAGACTGCAGTGCAATGGCGTGATCTCAGCTCACTGTAACCCCTGTCTCCCAGGTTCAAGCGATTCTCCTGCCTCAGCCTCCTGAGTAGCTGGGATTGCAGGTATGCACCACCATGCCTAATTTTGTATTTTTAGTAGAGATGGGGTTTTTCCATGTTGGTCAGGCTGGTCTCGAACTTCTGACCTCAGGTGACCCGCCTGCCTTGGCCTCTCAAAGTGCTGGTATTATAGGCGTAAGCCACCGCGCCCAGCCTAGGTTTTGTATTTTTAGTAGAAGCAGGGTTTCCGCCCTGTTGGTCAGGCTGGTATCGAACTCCTGACCTCAGGTCATTAGCCTGCCTTAGCTTCCCAAAGTACTGGGATTATAGGTGAGAGCCACTGTGCCTGGCTACTGTTTGCTTTTAAATGATGAGGAAATAGAGGTAACAGGCAAGTAGCAGAATTGGGTCTCTAGCTCCAGTCCACTCGGCTCCCTAGCTCATGCAAGTACTTGATCTCACTCCAGGCTCCTTGCTGAAGAAGCATTAAGATTTTGTTTGTACAGTAGGTATTGTCACCAGTTGAAATGGCATCACTAACACTGCAAGATTTTCAGGCTTTTTAAGTTAGTAACAGGATGCTGAGTTTTAGTATTTTCTCTGGCTTTTTAATTCCACATATCATAACCTTTTCCTTATTCTTTAGGCTTGGATATTCTGGAGGGAAAAGTGATGGGGGGAACATCATAAGAGAGAAACAGAGAGATAAAGTCAGGGGAGAGAGAGAAGGGAAGACTGCAGGTGTTTAAGAAGAATGCACGAGCCACAAACTGGCAGTCTACAGATGTTTTGCTTTGAACTGTGTTTTATCAGCTTTTAAATTAGTTGCTAATAGTTCAAAATCAAGATGTTTTATATAAAAATTCAGATTTCTGGCTTTTGTTGACAGTGGAAAGATCTGACAGCTTCAGAGACCACCTTCCTGAGCAGTATTTGGTTAAGCTCAGTATTATTGACTGTGCCCTTATATTGGGCATGATCTCTCCAGGTCACCATAGCTCCTAGTCATT